AAATTTTAGAAACTACCGCTTCAGAAAATAAAATATGAATTTTAATTTTGTAAATACCTTACTCCTTTAATTGTCACCTGCAATCGCCACGTTTACAATCTACGGTATGTTTTGTCAATACGCATACCGGGAAAATGTATACCGGGCAGCGGCACTTAACCTTAAAAAAACATCAGTGTAGGGTTAAAATATCGAATAAATGTAATTATATCCACGAATAAATTCATATCAAATCGAATGTAAAAAATATATATTGGACATTCACCAAAGCATATCTGTGATTGTCGACATACACCGGTGAGGGTCCGAATGTACAAGAATGTAATGAAATATTCGATCTTTCACCGACGTATTTGGTGTTAGTCGACATTCACCGGTGAAAGTCAACAACCACCGATTTCGGTCTTTCGCCGTGACATATACACCAAATTTTGTGAGGATCCGTTCAGAATTGCGGATTTGTATAAAGTACATACATACATATAAACTTTCTCCTTTATCTAACTAGATAGCTTCAAGGTGAATTGTTTCGAAAGAATTTTACACATCGTTGAACACAAAACTAGTAAATATTATTAAAATTTTTCCGTAAAAGTAAGATAACTTTTTTTACTGATGGAAAAATTCGCTCTAACAAAATTACACCTACTCATCTGTTCATAAAATGGAAAACAAGTTTTTATAAACTCGTAAAAAAATATAGACTTTATTCCGCATTTTCAAACCTTTATGAAATAAATAATAAATTGAGAAAAAATATTTTTTTTACTGTTGAACACTTATTTATTTTTATTAATAATATTTTTTATTTATCTAAGAAAATTTTAATAAATAGTAGAAATAATTTCGAAACTATATGGATATTGTTATTTTTACAAAGGTATCTCCTTAAGTACTTCTGAAAAGCTTATTTTAAAAGTATTGTCTTATCATGATTGTAATTATTGCATTGACTTTAAACAAACAAATGTGTAAATAAATTTACATTCAATTAATTACTCGTACAGATTTTATTTTGTTGGACTTTACATTTTTAAAAATATTATTAATTTTCAATTTATACTTTTCATTTATTAATTAAGTGGGAATTTCAAACATCACTAAATAAACGAAAAAAAATTTCGACATAATATATCAAATTCTTCAAATATTTTCTAGATTTTAATACGGTCTAATTAACTGATTTGAGACTCTCAAAAAGGTAAAGAAATTAATTCTAATCTATTTTTTTTCTTCAGAATTTGGAGGTAGCAGTTAAAGATTATCTATCAAATTTAAGTTACCAACTGGTAGAAAAACGTGAATCAGGATCTCAACTCATGAGTGTTGAACTCGAAATCCGGATCAAGTAAGTTTTTAGTTCGAATACTTTTTTGGAATACATTCTCTTAAGTATCTGTTTATCATTTCAAAAAAATACATATTTTGTTTATATTTCACTAGTCCAGATTCAATGCAAGAAAAATACTATTTTATTCCTTAAGTTACTATTTAAAAAAAAAATTGCTGATGCTGAAGGAATAAAAAAAAGCTCAAAGGGTTGTTTCTTTATTATAATGTAATTCTATATGTTTTAATAAGCTACATTTTAAGATAAACTTCTTTTAACGGTATCTAAATTTTTAACCGTTTTACAACCATTATTTTTGATGCAAATTATCATCAAAAGTTACTTGTGTATGTGTAATAAGTATTGTGTTATAAATAATATTATGTAATAAATGATATTCTGTAATAAATATTATTTCTTACACAACAATATTATTGTGTATTTAATAATATTAATTAATTATTGTGTAATAAATAATATTAATTATTGCGTAATAAATTACAGTTAAAGATATTCCTTAAATGATTAAGAGATTCGATCAGCTACATAGAGGCACAAATTGTATTTAAGATATCAACCTGTTTCGTAAACGAAAATATTAAACTATGGTTGTGCATTTACCAAATTTGTAATAACAATAATACAATTTTAACTATACATTTTATTTTAAACGATGATTGTTAAGCAAAATTATTTATGTTTACTAATAGATCTTTATAGAATTAACGAGGAAATGGAATGCGTGAAGGAGAAACACAAGAGTAAACAAGTAGAGTTCTTTTTAGTACATATACTTTAAACGAATAATTTAAAATTTCGCAGAAAAAACTATTTTATACCAAGAACCAACAATTATTTCGAATTGTCATGGTTGATGAGAGTGGACAGGGGCTTATCCCCCAACATTGTTATAAATTTCTTGAAAAAAATTTTTTAATAACAATTTATTTAAATTGTTATTTCACCATATTCGAACAAAACCGTCAAATAACCATAAATGAGACGGTATTCAACTGTTAAGTGTGAGAAAAACCTTTTTTTAACTGCTTTCACCTAATACAGTTAAGCAACCAGAATTTTATCGTGCTAACTAGGCCCACCTAATGAAGCAACTTGGCTCCTTGCAGCTGGGTACATGTTATAGCCGAGAGGACTAACCTAGAAATCTCATGGCACGCGGAACGGGGGTCCGAATCCTTCGCTGAAACCACACTATTTCCGCCGTTTCCTTCAGCACATGAAAAGTTTCCAGTATCCTGCACGCGGTAATTTGTGACTCTGAATAATTAGAAGGCGTTAAGCTTATTCACACATGGATGGTAGCACCTTAAAGCTGCTTAATACAAAAAAAATCTAGTATTTCCCATCTGTTACAATGTATGAAAATACCAGATAAAAAAACTAAACCACACTCCATGGTTCATTTGATAAAACACAACTGTACCACAGCCTAACTCCAATGACTATTACCTAAGAAAAGCCCAGCTCCAATGTCCAGTTAAATTTCTTTTTTACTGTTTTGAAACCATGCTAGTTGTAAATGATCAAAAAATTAGTAAAGCAAAAAATGTTCTTTACTGTAATCTTTACGTTTAATTGGAAGGAAAGACTGCTCTTGGTTACTTTACCTTAATTTTAGAGGAAAAAAAATTCTAACACTGTCGTATCTATATGTTTACTAAACAAGTTGATGCTTTTTAACTACTTTTAAGAAAAGAGAACAATGATGAATGCGAAGCAATTACGGTGTTGATGAGCGAAGCAAACAAGGGTGGATCCTTCTAATTTGAAAATGATACAGTTTACCTGTCGACTTTAATGCACATTATCACTTACATACTTTAAAAGCTAGCTCTTAACTTCCATTAGAAGTCTTAGCACTCAAGTGTTTAAAACTACCTTAAAAGTTTATTCGAGATACAAAATATTTAAAAAAATAAACCTTTTCCACTTGTTTCGCAGAAACTGGTGATCTTGAAAACGTACTGTATCCTAAAGGCTCGAGTTAAGAACTTCATTTTTTTTTCTTTTTGATTTTTAAACAATTTGAAGTGAAAGATGAAACCTTCTTATCAAAGAAACACAAAAATGTAAGATAAAATTATAAAAGATTATGGAATTTTAAAAAACAGGTTCTTAAAAGATAAGTGCCAGAAAAGAAATTCGAAGCAGTCAGTATTGTTGGAAAGTGTTCGGAAATATTTTCCTGATATTTTGATACTTTTCGCGTAGATAAAATAGAATAACTTAGTAACAGAAATAGCAAATCTCGTTCAATAAAAAAAATCATATTTGAAAGCTAAGCTCTTGAAAAAATTTAAAAATGAAACTATTTTCAAATTGTATAATTTTTATATTATTTATTTTATTAAACTACTTCGTAAGCATAGCGTTTACACAGTTAGAATTTCGTAAAAACAGAACGGAACAAGAAATGAAATCTATAAAGCGAGTGGCGAATTCAAATGCACTTGAATGCACCGGAATCTTTCAAGAATGATTTAAAATATTATTGTAATAAGATTGCCAGATTATTAAAAATATGAAAACAGAATCGCAAATGGAGTTAAAAGCGTAAATAGAGGGATTTTGTCTCATGCCGCTTTCTTACCGCAGCACTAAAGAGTGTAATACTAATTAGTTACCAAGGCTTGTCCTGAAAATAGAGGCGCACAAGGTAATCATATTATACTGAATCATTTAAGGAAGTTTATAATTAACAAGATTGATATTTAATTGCACAATTTCAATAATTTTTAAAAAAATAAAATTTATTTAAAAAGAGAGAGAGAGAGAACTTTATTGTTATATTTCAAATTGGCTACTTCGTCTCAGATCGGCTCGGTGCACTTGCAGTGAATCCCCTCCCATGTGGGTATTTATGGGAATGAGATTGCTGATCGGCTTGCCAAGGAAGGAAGTGAACTTGCTACTCCCCCTTCCTCTAAACTACTAGTGTCTGAGGTTCACTCACTGAAGTTAGCTAGGGTAAATTCAGCGTGGAAGCACCCACCAGATCATGATTGGTATGCCGCCAAATGCCCCGGATTATCCCTGCCGTGCTAGATTTGCTCAAACAGTTTTGTCAAGACTTAGGATCGGACATATAAAGTGTTTGACCTTCAGAGCGAAAGAAAAGATCTATGCCTATTGTCATTGCTCGGCCATTCCTTCTCCATCTCATCTTTTGGATTGCATTGGTGCCTCTGTGAAGCAACTGATGAGTGATGGAGCGACTGTCTATGACTTGCTGAAACGACATAATCTTCTGGACTTGGTCTAGGGCTCTAGACCAAGAGGATAAGCAACAACAACAACAACTTTATTTTCGATCGTCTAATCTTCATTCTAGTTTCATCATTCTAGTTTCATTCTAGTTAACTATCTCCCACAATGCACTATGATGAGGCTTCGAGTTGAGGGAACATTAGCGTCATATATTTGAAAATTCGCGTTCACAAATCACTGGATTTCGTCATTATTTCTAAGAGTATACTCAGTGAAAAAGAAATTTGTATTGAGTTACTCATCAAGTTCAAAAAAGCGAAATTAGACGAATAAGAAAACTTACAAATTTAAAACTATACGGAAGAAATTGCACAATATGTCGTTTTTTTTTCTTTTGCTATTATTATTTTTATTTCATTTGTATAAAATTTTCAAGTCTGCGAGATTGAATTGCTGAATTTACGACTGAAAACAAATTCTTTTATTTAAACTGCTAACATTAACAAAACCAATTACTTACTAATTGTAGATCCCAACTTAAATTCAATTTTAACGTAAGTTTTACCTTGCTTATGATAGAGAAGAATAAAAAAATTTCTTTCTTTCAAAACCTTAATACTCCCGGATACGTTTTATAATCTTTATACCAATGTTGTTTCATAAGTCAAATACATCTGGTTTAATTTTCCTGAACAGTTCTTTTTTATTTTACTTTTTAATGTTACTTCTAAATTCATGAAAGAAACATTTATTTCGTTACCATTATCTCCCCACAAAATCATTAAAATTATATGTGTTCTTATTTAAAATGGATTCTAATATTTATTTATTTAAAATTTTATTTCAAGCCATTAAGTGGCAACATTTCTCTTATCGCTTTGTATCTATTTTAGCTCGATTCCGATACACCAATTAAAATTCCGTTGAGATAGTGAAACAGCTTTCAAATTTTAACCAGCCCTCTGTAAGTGTTTATTCAAAATTCCACCAGTAACAGAGTATTAATTTCAAACTTACTAGATTAAAACCCTCCTTATAAATTAAAAGATGTTTACAACGTCCATTGAGTCGAATAACAATATCTTACTTGTATGCATCATCTATATTGCAATCTAATTTATTGTTAAATTTCTTAATTGTTTACTAAATTATAATTAATACTTTCTTCATCATTTATCCCATTCGTCACCCCAGTAATAATTTATATACCAACATATTTTCATTTATTTTTAAGGATCATTTTCTTCTACCAATACTTAAGAACATTAAACTATACTTTTTTTAATTCATATTAACTAATCAATTAACCAAAAAGAACATTTCTTTATAGCGTTAAACATGAAAGATAATTTAAACAGCTCAGATTGAAAGTGCAGAGTAATTGATATTGAGCATAAACGTGAAAAGTTATTGATATTGAGATGCAAACTCAAGAATGCATCTAATTCTCTGATTAAATTTATAATTTTACATTTTCAAACCTTTCAAAAGGAAGTTTGCTGCAAATTTTTAAACAATGTTAACTACTAATGCTTATAAAAAATATTTTAAATTTATAACCTTTACTTAAATTTAATCAGACAGCGGGAATTAAGCTCTTACATAGTTTATTTTATCCCAATAAAAATTAAAATTCAATATTTGAAATTTAAAACGCATTAATAATTTTCAGAAAAATTCATTAAGATCACTCTTTAGTTCGAATGATGTAATATTTATATTCCCTAATAAAAATAGTTTATTTTCCTTTTGCTTACTAATCTGTGCTGTGAATGAAATAATTGTATTATATAAATTCATTCTATCTTTTATATTAATGTAACTAGATAATTAAATACGCATCTCAAAATTTATTACTAATGATTTAAAAATATTTCTTTCATTTGAAATGTGCGCTTTTCTGCCATAGAAACATTGCATATATGTATCTGAAATATATTTTTGAAACGAATCAAAGAATATAAAAAAAAGTGTCTGATGTGATATAAATGTTTTATTGTCATTAAAATCATAGTATATTTAAACCAAAATTGACTCAATGAACATTTAAATTATTGAATAATTCTAAAATCTGTAAACCTTCTAATGCTGCAAAAATTTGTTTCAGAAATATAGGATCACAGTTTTGATAATATTTTTAGAAAAGCGGGAGTATTCGTACTTTAAAAAGGGAATAAAACGTTATAAAGACTATAAACACTATTTTTTCTAAAATTACAATTTTTTTAGAGAGATATTTCAGGAACGTAAATTTAACTTACTGTAAAAGACTATTACAATTATATATATAACAAAACATTGATGACATAAAAAGTTGACATCCTTCAAAAAGACTATCCATAGAGACTGAGTACCCCCAGATAGACGTAGATCGCAACATCAAAATCATTTAACACACTCCTTTCGTAATAATTTACCGAAGAATTCCATTATTTACAGAGTTAGTATCAAAAATTCAAATTGGTGGTGTCATAATTTATGTAGTCTATATTTGTGTATCATATTAGTCGTTATTTGATCAGCCGCCTAAAAAAATCAACCGCTTAAGGTACCTTATTGTTTTCAAATCTTATAGTGAACTACAGACCATAACGACTGCGAACTTTTTTTATTTTTAAAAAGTAATCTTGCTTTTTCATTTGTCAGCTCAGAGAAGGAATCAAGGTTAGCCAACCGCAGTGTAAATACGATTTACTAAAAATGTCCCCGCGAGCCACTAATAGCTTGTAATTGACGGTTAGACTATCTCTAGCCAAACTGATTTATCCCATGTACTATACATGCCGCCATTGTCACCTACCACGAATCTTTATAATAAACCAGTTCCACCCATAAATTCAATGGTGCATTTTTTATCAATATTTCCACAGTGTTATACATACCTAATCTTACATGTCCCTAATACCAACAACAATTTCAAGTACGCAACGCTTCTGTGCTAACTAGTTACTACTATGTTACTCACTGCAAGTTCGAATCACTGCTGTTGTATCGAATATTGATAGAAATTTACAAACATGGTAAAAAGAAAGTATTCTTAACACCACTTATTTGGCAATAACTGAGTCATGCTACATTGTTAAAAAGCATATGGAAAGACTGCCCGTAATGAAAGTCATTCAGGTTCTAAACTCTTTATTGTTCGGACTTTTTGATGGAAAGAGCCCTCCAATTGGTTAAGACGTTTCTAACACCGCTGGTGAAAAGATCGGGGGTCATGAGTTCGATCATGCCATCTGACTAAATAACCTGCATGTATACTCAGCAAGATGAATGTTAAATCTGTGTTGTAGGTGAAAATGTTCTCTTTAGTGATAACGTGAAAGTTTGGAGATAGGGATACCAGCCAGGGCGTTTTCCACGTCGTCTGACCAGGATCAAAAATACTGGGCGCTTCTATCATGGCCATTTAACGACAGAACCCTGATAAACTGGGTTAGCTGCTCGGCCATTAATGTCTGATGTGTGTTGAAAGGAAGATCTTGTTAAGCAGAAGCTGGTTAAGAGCAATTCTAGTGTATCAGATAATTAATAAATGCAATGAATATCACATATATCACAAAAAATTAGACTCCAATGCTAAATGTAGATTGAAAAACTAAACATTTTGGCGTATGGAAAATAATATTTGATTTTTTTTTCGTGTATTATTTTCTTTATTTAGAATACGTGGTTTCAACTCAAATCTGTTTTTTATTTTTTATTTTCTGGAAATCTCTTAATTAATCAGTATATTTTATGCTTTTACAGAATTAATCAAATAATTCAAAAATTAAAAGAATGAACAACTGTTTTAAAAAGATTTGACTAAGAAAAATGAAAACTATTACTTTCGAAGAGTATTCAAAGAATCTTAATTTTGAAAATATCGTGTCTTAATAGCGAGCTTTTCGCAATAAAGAAGTAAAAGTATGCGTAAATAAAATTCTCCTATTGCTAAAGTTATATTAAATGTCATGAAAATATCGATTCTGTTAGACATATTTTGTTACATTTGAATTTTCTTTTACTCGGTGAAATCTTGTTTGCTTATTGAATTTAAACGTCGTATTCTTTTACATCGTCGTAATCTTATCATATAGTATACTTTGTTTTTTATTATTAAATATATTTTCTTTTGAATATTTTCAGCAATGAGGAGGAAAATTTTGCTGTTCTTTTTTCTACCCCTGAACAACGAATGACTTGGGAAGCTGCATTTTTGGATGCCAAAGGTAAAACAATTCATGAAAGTTCACCGCATGATATTTATTTCTTACAGAAGAAAAAATATTTTATTTTAAAGACAAAACAGATTTTTTAAAAATCCAGTTACAAGGATGTATACAATAAGAAAAAAAAGAAAGTCATTGCAAAAATAATACATTTAAGCAAAAAAATACCATGATTTTGGCATCGAACCTGAAACCTCTTTGACCCTCCTGGCCAACCAATAGCTGATACAATATCACATTACTTTTTAACTATCTAAAATTTCATTTTTAATAGTTTTTTGTTTTTTTTGTCGGATTTCCACGTGTTTTTAAAGTACCGATCTTTTCAAAATGATATTATAATGACTGTCGAATCGTGCAAATAGTTATCACTAGAGCCCGGATTTTGATGATCTAAAAAGTCTCAACTAATGCCCTTAAAAAGTGCAAAAAATGCCCTTAAAAAGTGCGAAAAATGCCCTTAAAAATGCGATAAATGTGCTAAAAATGCCTTATGACATGACTTAAATAAAGAAAAAATATTAAACTAAAACAATGTTTTACTCTTTAAAATTATTATGAGTCATTTCAAAAAATATAAAGCAATGCAATACTTGTTCTACGTTCATTAAAGTTTGAAAAATATGTTTTACATCCTAAAATAACAAAAAAGAGGAAAATATATTGACTCCAAAACATTTTCATTTTGTACAGAAACTTTAATGAATATAACAACTTCCATATCATTATATTACTAAATATCAGAATTACATTGGATTATTAAATATTTTTTGATATTTTGAAATGTAAACGAGCGTCTCTTGTCTTAAAGCAAATTTTTATTCCTGGAGAAGAAAATTTCCTAGAAAATTGTAATGTTCTAAACGATACAAAACAGAGAAAATGGGAAAGCTGTAACAAAGAATTACTTCTAAAGATTTTATATCAATCAATAACATAGTGGAAAAACATAATGGCATGCAGGTGGTATTGAGAGCTACAATATGAAATTTAAAATTATAAGACAAATATTGCATTTCATGTGATAAAAATGCCCCAATAAATAATGAAAATAGGAAAAAATTAACAAAAAGCTTAAAAAATGCTTTAAAATGTAAAATACGGCCCAAAATTTAGAAAAAAATGCCCTATAAATCTTAAAAAATGCTCTAAAGGACAAAAAATGTCCAAAAATGCAAAAAATGCAGAAAAATGCAAATGTCATCAAAATCCGGGCCTTAGTTATCACTTCTGGCGTGCTTTATTTGTGCCAATTTTATCGTAAATCCAATTTTATCGTACATTTTCTTACGTTTTAATGGCACTACGTATTTCCATATGGTTTTGAAAATTCCAATATTTTTAATATGTATTAATACTGTATTTGTATCAATTTCATCGCAAATCTAAGGCTCGGTTTCATGAAGAGGTTTTTTTTTCTAATCGCTCTTTTTCTATCGTGATTTCAAAAGTTATTACTACACTTTTCCACGGGGTTTCGGAAATCCTGATATTTTTTATCTTTTATTATAACGACTCGCAATTTGTTTGTTGTAGATTTTGTGCTGCTGCTTGCAACTGACGTTTTTTTTTTCATGAAAAAAAATCTTGATATTTTTAATGCAATGTTAATACAAAACGTGAAATTCTAATGAGGGTTTTTAAACTGTTTACTGTTTTTGAACTTGGTTTCTAATTTTTTGTTGCTTAAAAAGCCATATTAAAATTTAACATTCTTAAAATCTCGAATAATTTACTAATTACTACGAATGTCCTTAAATTAAAAATATACCGAACTGATTGTTATTTCTTATTTTGAACTATCATGTATTTTGCGTCATTTTCAATAATTTTTGACCCCCATACGATTTCTTTAATTAAAATATTCATTTCGCCTTTAAGTTGATCAATAAAATATTTATCTATTTTTAATTTTTTTTTATTTATTTTACTCTAGAACATTACAGAAAATTTATTTTAAATACACTTTTTTGTTACATGATATGATAAGAAAACCATTACTTTTTCCACATTTTCCTATTTTTTGGGTGAATTTAGTTTTTTTAATCAAAAAAATATATTTTAATTTTAAGTATCGGTTTAGTTTTCTTCAGTTTTTAATGATTTTTTACGTTTAAAATAATTTAATTTTAGGCAATTATGTAACTAAGTTGGACAGTAAAAAAGAAGAAAAAAATTAAGAAAATAAAAATAATAATTATAATTATTTAAAAGAATTTATTTCCTTGAATATATTGCTAAGTTAGCTGATAAAAAGAATTCTGTCCGAAACACTGATGTTTATTTTAAAATTATTATAATTGCCGTTAACATATCTAAATATTTAGAAACGCTTACTAATGAAAATATTTTTTCTTTCACAATATATTTTTTTTATTTTAGTTTGCAAATAAAAATAACCCTTAAATAAACTTCGGATATAATTATTATAAGATAGCGAGTTATTTCCTAGTATTATTAAGCCAAATTTTATTCCAATGAGGTAAGTTGGTAAGTGTATAAAATATATCCATTAAATACTTTTTTAAATTCCACCTTTCTATCGCAATTATTAATTCTTCATTAATTTATATTAAAATAATTTAAATAAAAAATCATAAACTGAAACAAAATAAATAATTATAAATACCCGAATGTCTCTTCATAGTGTTCTTGTCTCACTTCATATCCAGGTTAATGAGGTGATTTTCAAGGTATACAGGTTGTTTTTCTGACACTTATCAAACGAAATATTTATGAGGTATAAAAAAATTTACCCCTTTATTTCAAGTCAAGTATTTATTGAGGTGTCTGAAGTCGCACATTTTATTTATACCTAAGCTAATTTTAAGGTTGTTTAAAGTTCACTTCATATCAACTAGACTAATGAGATTTTTAAAATATACCAGTTGCTTTTCGGACACTAATATCAAACGAGGTATAAAAAAAAGGTATATGAGGTATAAAAAAAATTACCTTATTTCAATTAAAGAGAGTCAGGTATGTATTGAGGCGTCTGAGGTTGGTTTTCATATACTTCACCTCATTTTGAGGTTGTTTTAAATTCACTTCATATCAACCAGATTTTTGAGCTGAAATTCAAGGTACACAGCTTGTTTTTCTAACACTTATAACAAAAAACGTAGTTATGAGGTATAAAAAATTTTCTTATTTTGACTAAGGAGAGAGCCTGGTATTTATCGAGGTGAATGAAGCTATTTTATTTGTACTTGGGCTCCTTTTGTGGTAACTATAAATCCTCTCCATAACTACTTGCTTGAAGAAACTGCTCTTAAGGTATATGCAGGTTTATTTTTTAACACATTCAATTAAAGTGGTAAATTATTATTTTTCAGGTTATTATATAGCTTATTTTCCTAACAAATCCAGTAAAAATGGTAAATGGTTATATTTCAGGTTATTTTCTAACACACCCAATTAAAGTGGTAAGCATTAGGTTTAGAAAGAATTTCATTTAAACTAAGAAGAGTCAATTGTTTACTTAGGTATATGAGGTTATTTTGTTCACATTTGAGATAATTTAGGGGTTTGAACAAAGCCACTTCATAACTAATTATTTTGTTGATGTTAATTATTGATGGCAGAAAAATCTCATTCATCACGTAGTGCATATTAATAATTTTCCAAAATTAATAAAGTTTTATAGAAAGTAAAAGGTGAGAAATAAATAGCTATTCCATTAAATTAGCAATTTTAGATTTAATGTTAATTATTAACTAGGCGACTTATTAGTACAGCTGATGCTATTTAGAAAGTATTCGCAATTCTTACGAATCTAAACAAACTATTTAAGTATTAGTAATATTATAAATAATTATTACTAATGAATAGTTAAAAGATAGAAAAGTTAGTGGTTGTAATGAACAACATTATGTTGATTTTCAATGTCACATAGCAATGAGGTTGCATATAATAAAGAAGAAAAAATATTTTTAAAAAAATAAGTCATTTAGGAAATTTAAGAAAAAACGGGTAATTTTTCAAAAGGAAACTTTTACAAGAAATTTACGAATAAATAGGTGATTAAAAAAAATAATTATTACAGTTAGCAACATAAAACTGAATGATAATTTTAATCATTAATATGGTTTCATGCATTGATTAGGAAAATTAGAAATGATTATAATGGAAAATTAAAATCAACTTTTACAAGAAATTTACGAATAAATAGGTGACTAAAAAAATAATTATTACAGTTAACAACATAAAATTGAATGATAATTTTAATCATTAATATGGTTTCATGCATTGATTAGGAAAATTAAAAATGATTGACGTGATTTAGTGAATTATGTGTGCAATTAAAGTTTCAAAAATTTTTTCCCCGAAATTAAATTTTTAAAATGCAATTGACACATGAATTTTGCAAATGAACGGTTAAAAATTAAAAATAAATAGCTACAGTTTACAACATTCAACTGAATATTAATTTTAATCTTAAATATGGTTTCATGTCTGATAAATGAAAATAAAGATTAGTATAATTAAATGACTGTTTGCTATCTCCCAAAAATGAAATAAAACAATAAATAATCAAAGGAAATATGAATAAATAGTCATTGCAATAAACAGCATTAAATTAAATTTCAATTTTGCAAGATAATGAGGTTGAATATTATTTAATGACTATTTTCTATCTCCCCAAAAGGAAATAAAACAATAAATAATTAAAAGAAATATCAATAAATAGTCTTTGCAATAAACTGCATTAAATTAAATTTCAATTTTACAAAATAATGAGGTTGATATTTTTAAACAATAATTATCGATAGTCAATAATTAAAGTCAATAATTATCGATTTAAATTCATTTAAACAAGAAGGAGATTAACATATTTTCAGATGTTTAGCAAGTTTGAGAAATTTATTTATTTATGAGCGAAATTATTGTTCTCGTCTTTGAATTTCGTCACCTTACAGTACCATAATCCACAAAACGAAGCAAATATTCCGACACCACCTCAATCAAGTGTTAAATAGAACATTGTCTAAGATGAACCATAGTATTGTGTAATAAAATTTGAGTTCTGCAGTTTCTTCCTCCCTATTAAAGTTCTGCAGCAAGTTTGAATGATATTATGGTTCAAAACGCTTGAAACTCTCTACAATTTAGGGATTATTTTTAGTGGTGAACAACAATGTAAAAATCAAATACTCTGACTGATGCCGACTCTCTTTTTCAGATAACATAAGAGAAGAGAGCATGTATCCTGAATTCCTAAGTTCCTTACCATTGGGAAGAACAAGGCCAGGAATGCAGGTATGTCAATGTAGTAAACGAAAACCTTAAACTTTTTATTTTGATACATATCTTCTTTTATTTTTAATAGAAACTTTTCTTTAAAGGGTAATATATTTCTCAAAACTTGATACATACATTAAAGTACAATAGAACAAATGTGATCATAAATTCACAAAAAGAATATATTATCTAAAAGCTATGTTAAAATTACAATTAGCATTGAGTAATTCAAACAATTAAACAAAATTTAGAAATGGACAATAATTAATACAGTTAGACGAAAATTATAACTTGGCATAATTCTCTGTACACCTGGTGGAGCATCAGACCACAAGCTTTGGCGTTTAATTCCTACCGGTCAAGAGGCGCTTCCCTTGCACTCCCACAAATGGACCATCCCAGGATGTTTCTTTCCCTTATTATCATTTGTCTGTTGCTTAGTTTCGGCCGGCCTCTTTTCCATTATCCCTCCAGTGCCCATGTCAAATCTGTTTTAGTTGTGTCCTTTGGGAGTATTCTTAGCGTGTGTCCTATCCAGGACCATCTTCATTTTTTTGTTTCTATTTCGATGGATTTAGCTTTTGTTTTATAGTAAAGTTCGCTGGTTGTAATTTTATTTGGCCAGTATATCTTTAAAATTTGTCTGAGGCATTTAGTTTTAAAAGTATCGAGTTTGTATTCTTGTTGCTTTCCGAATATCCATGACTCACTACCATATAAAAATACAGACTTAACTATTACATTAAAAATTTACAAACTTGAATTTAGTATTAAAGTTAGGTGATTTCCAAATTATTCTATTGGTCCACAAAAATCCGTGCGTATTAACTCTGATGGACTAGTTGCTCTAGTACGCTCAATTGAAAACGGATGTCTAATTTTTCTTTTGCACACACTTCCCAAGGATGAGAAATATTCTTAATCTCATCAGTTTGCAAATTCCTCCCGGTTGAATGACTTACTAATTTCTTCATTCAGTGTTTAAATACCCAAGTTTTCTATGGCATTAATTAGCATTTTTTTCCTCACCGGTGACTGGTTCAACTTTTCGTTCATTTAGTTTTATTTAATATAGCCCGGAATTATTATTTTTACCCTCTAAAATAACATTTCCTTTCGTAGAAATTTCTATTTTATTTTAAATAAATTTCACAACACTACCATTCGTAAGGAGGACATTATACGAAGCTGTCATGTATGTCAGTGCATCCACTTTCATTTCTTTTTAATATTTTTTTTTCTTTTTCGATAGTTAGGTTGCTATTTCATACAGTGCTTTTCACAAGGTGATTTTATGTCAGTTGTGACATAAACAGAAAGACGCACAACACTTAACGCCTCAATTAAACACTCGAAAACTTCATTTGTGCTTATTTTTACTCCGTTATAATTAAGAAATATATTTCTCCAATAAACTGTTATCCCTCATTTAGCTCTTATCAACCATTTAACCATCTTATCAACCAATAAAACGCCATTTTAAATAAACCTTGGCAGTTAATTTTAAAAAAAATTGACATCNGTGGGTAATAAGAACTATAATTTCGAGAACAGATTTTAGCCGATAAACACATTTCCATTACGAACAGAAAAAATATCAAATAAATTATTTAAATACCTCAAAATTTTAAAATCATTTGCCAGGGTTCCAATTTTTTTACCGAAAATGTGGTGTTTTTGCAAGAATTATTTTCCTAAGGGATGAAACAAACAAAATATTAATAGAATCATTTTCGCTCCTCTTTCTCCTGAAATGATTACCTTATGTCAAATTTATAAACTGTCAAATTTTGGCAGATTCTATTTTTTTAAGGTTATTAATAAAATTCTTTCATTTTTTAAATGTAACGCTTACGGTAGGAATTGATTTTCATTTATAATCTTCAATTCCTATTTGAACATAGCTCCAAATTTTGATATAGTAGAATTTTTCAAAAATTTAAAGGCAGCGAAATGTTTATTAACTGAAGTAACTGATGCAATCTAACTTTTAAAAATGTGGGTGTAATCAATAGGTATAATTCAATATTATTATGTCAGTACAAAAACTAAGCTTAATAATTTTGATTTTAAGATAGGAAAACTGAATAGTTATCGAAACAATAATTCCTACGTATGAGCTTTACAGATGAGCTTTTATTTATCATGATATGTATTTCAGTAACCCAAATAAATTCTATCTTTATCTGATATCTTAGCGCAATAAGTTAAAAACAATGCAGTTTTGTTTTTCCCGTTTATTTCGAACATTTATATAAGAGTGAACATACTATCGCATTAGTTGTAATATCATCGAAAACTGATTCACTGATGTGAGATGAAATGACTAGAGCTAACATTCCTTATCTCATTCACTGTAGTATGCATTTATGCAATATTCGAAACGTATTTATACATTTGAGTCCCAATTATATTTCATAACAGTCACGTATTACTACTGTTCTTGCGAAAATACAGTTATTGCAAACGTGCTTTGTTAGTAATATATTTATGCAAAATATGTGGAATGAAAGTTAAAACCTTTTGTAAAGTTAACTAAATCTAAATAAATCTTCCAATACAGGTTTCAAACTTTGAAAAATACACAACAAACTAGTTTCAAAGTAGGGAGGGAGACAAAAGTGGCATATTTAGTGAGTTTCAAGAACTTAAAAACTTTCATAAAGCTAATTTGAGCATTAGAGGTGTATGGTAAAGTAAATGGTCATAAAATACGTTGCACTATTCAAATTGAAGTGGTATTTTACAGCAATTTTATCAAAATTTCTGCATCACTTTTATCATTTCTATAAACTAAATATGCACTGTAAGAAATGACGGATTAAATTCAGGTGAAAAATTTTGGCAGCCTGAGTGCAGTATCCGTAAAATCCACTTTGCCGTAAAATACATTTCACCGAAAAACTTTATATCTTTATTTTTACAATAATATTTATTTAATTACAGTGATTTAATGATTTTACAGTTAATATTACTGTATAAAAATTACTTTACATAAATTTTTTGTTAAATAAAACTTAACAGTAAACATGGATTTTACTGTAAAAAGTACTAGCACCGCGAGTGCCGGTACTTTTTACCGTTATTTTATACGGAATATTTTACAGTGCACTCTAAAATCTACATTTTGTAAGATATAATTAAAATAGTTCTGAAAAAAATCGTCATCGTCTCACCAAATCACCAGTCGTCATCGTCTGGACAATGCCCCAAGATGGCAGATAGTTAAAAGACTCGAGGAGGGCTAATCACAGGCGACCTATTGTAGAGACATTTGGGGTTTCTGCAAATATGGTGTTCACTCTGTGGAAACATATTCACAAAGACAGGAGCTGTGGTCCGCCGACCTAGTCACAGTCACAAAAGAGCAACACTACCGGTTCAAGACCGTCATGCGAGATTCCCAACCAAACGGGATAGGTTCGAGACACAACTATCTCGCAACCTGCATAATGCAGCAGGAATATTTACTTCTCAGATAACAATCGAATAGAGATTTAATCCAACTTGACTGTATGACAGGTGCCCTGTAGTCTGCATCCCTTTGACTGTGAACTACGAAAAGAACCGTCCATCCTGGTGCCGAGAACACCTGTCTTGGACAGAGGATGATTGAAGCGGGTTCTCTTCTGTGATGAGAGGTGATTCAATCTTGAAAGCAACTCGAGACGTATTCTCCTCTAAAGAGAGCCCGGGAGTCAATATCGGCTCTCTAACATTATCGGAAAGGACCACCATAATCGAGGAGGTGTGATGGTCTGGGCATGCATCATGTCATAAGGGGATAACAAACTCCATACGTTCTACAAAAGTACTCTGACAGGTCAGCAGTATAGAGACGAGATCCTTGCACCTTGTGTGATACTTTTGAGAGGAGAATGTGAACCAGATCTTATCCTTTTGTCTCCATAGGGTTCAGCTGGGGAACGAATACCTCCCACCTGAAATATGTGTGACCCCCTTGGAAGCTCAATTGCAGCTCAAAGACCAGCTCCACGTCCATAGATGAGCTCAAGTGTGCATTGATGCAAGAGTAAGAGGGGTTGCAACAGGTGTTGATAAGAAACCTGGTAAAAAGTATGAAACGTCAATGCGAGAGTTGTGTAGCTATTAGAGACGATCATGCATCCTATGAGATATGTTTTCCTTTGATTGTCGGTCAGCAGCTGTGCTGGAAAAGTGACCAGTTTCCTCATATTTCTCATATATTGGTCTTATATAGAATGATATTTTGGCCAGGTTTCGTTTCATTTGCTTTGTTAGTTTTTTCTTCTTTTACAAAAAAAAATTATTTGTCCCTTCAATAGTTTTCACCAGTAAATATTATGATGTACAAACATGTCTCGTTTTTTCAAGCCACTTTATATTTGTGTTAAAAATTTATCATCCTTTTAAAAGGACGCTAGGCACAGATAAATTGACAGTTTTTTTGTTTTTTTTTTATTCTTATATATTTTTTTTTGTTTTTTTTTTATTTCAATCTTAACTTTGGCACAGTACTTAATAGATTCTGGATAGTTTTTTAAATGTAATAAAATTACATCAAATAACTGCGCAGTATCTAAGATGTTAAATTTTAAAAATTTTATTTGCTTTTATTTATGAAACAAACATAAACAAAATATTCAAATTTTAGGAAAATATGATTGAAATTTTTCAGCTTAAAAACTACAATTATAAAATTTTAGTTGCTTCAATATTTAATATTTTTAATGTTTCACGTTGAATCAAATTATTTTATCTAAATTTTAAATATTTTTTTATTATTCTAACTACATGCCTTGACACTTTTATACAACATATTGTCGTTATATTGTTCCTAAAAACGATTTTCTTTCTTCTTCTATGAAGAGGGTGAGGGTTGATTTTTAAGCCACATATTTTATGTGACGATAAACTTGAAAAAAAGAGCAACATAAAAAGCATTAACTCGAAAATGACGAGGCAATGTGAGATGATGCAATAGCATAAAGAAAATTCTGACATCAGCAAAAGAGTGATTATTTTTAAATCTTAGGCATTCTGCGCTCCCACTCAACCACGTTCTTCACCAACAGCGGCTGCGTGCGCTACAGCGGATACAATGCGCATGCACCATTGCGTCAGCAATCCAAAGAACATAAAGAGATCAGAAGTTCTAATACGTAACGTGTTCTGCTTTTTTTCTTTGTATGAAAGCGATAATCTGACTTCAAAATCAGCATTTGCATAGTTTTAGAATAAATTGCATTAATTATTTACGTTTTGGCCAAAAGTGCCGATAGCAAATTCACTACGTCACAAAATGAAAAAAATTCTTGTTACCCTTTTAGACCTTTTCCTTCTTTTATTTTCCTTCCAAAGTAATTGTCCAAAGTTAATTCTATTCCAGAAGAATTATTTTTTATAAGTCTGTTTAAAACAATATATAAGCACTATGCAATGAGCGAAATTGCTTTTGATAACAGAATTATTTCATTATTAAAATAAGAGCGTTTCAGAAATTTGAGGAAAAGAAAAGTCCTCTCCTTCGAAAAGCTTAAGACCTGCTGATCTACCCTAAGGAGCAAAACAAGACGTCACAGCAATAATAGTATCTGCGAGGGAATAATTCATCCAAACTTTTTTCAGGAGTAGAGAGGCTTAATAAATTTGCCAAAGGCATCATCTTGATTCAGATTGACTCTGAAATGGATTTCGACAGTCTTAATTTAGCATTAGAATGGTCATAATTAAGAATTTTAGACAGCAATGAAGCCAAAGCTCCAGAGAAAACTCTTTTTAACACTTGAAAAAGATATTCAAAACGCAAATCTCATTAAAACATTCAAAGAGCAAAATGAAAAATTTTCGGAAGCCAATTTAAACATTAGGAATCCAATTAAAACCACGCAATGCAACCATTGAATTTTAACGATTGACCTCAAATACTAAGAACGTTGAGAGGCTGAAAATCGACTGGGAAAGAGAAGGCGTCAAAGAAAAGGGGTGACTACTATGATTCTGTAAATGCTGTAGGCACTGATATCTGGCTACAAGTTGCAAAAACCAGGAAGACTGTCTGAATTGCGGAAAAATCGGGACACGGTCGTGAGGGATAAAAGAATGAAAGCAGCTGCATAAGCTATAGTATTAAATTGAAAAACTTTGTAAGGAGTCATTGAACTACTTACATCTGTTTAAGTAAACTCCTGTCCATGTAGACTCAAAATTCTGACCGAGAAAAATTAATGATTACGGAGACTGATTGTTAATGAAACGAAGCAGCCAGCCAACCTAAACAAATCGTCTTTTTCTGCTGTTTTTTTTTTTCGAAGTTTAATGCAATTTAAAGTTTTTAGATATTAATGCTATTACAGCATTTGATATAAAATTTTGATGAGTGATTTGATGATCAGCCATTTTTTAATGAAGGAAGCTCGTGGAAAATTCAGTCTGAAGTCTACCCAACTGATCTCGTTGTGCTGGTGGGCTCTTCAGCATGCATCTACCTTTGGGCAGGTCGCCTTCAGAGGGGTCACGCCACCAGGATATATAAATATATATATATTCAGGGGTCGGCCTAAATAATGGAAATACTTCGATACTGACATATTTTTTGATATTTTTCAAAAAATACCTAGAATATCAGTTTATAAATTTAGAAGTGTTTAAATCGTGCAATTTCTCATACATATCAGAGAAGTTTAAAGCTTTTTAAGGTTTGAGGGACCTACAATAAATTGCAAACGGGAAAAAAAATTTCAAACACCCTATGCCCAAAAATGTAGTAATAAATTTGTAACTTATGACAATTATTGTGGTTATTACATGCGAGGGGGCAGAGTGGCAGTTTAGTTTTCCAAGAAGGATATTGGATTAAGGTCAGGTGAATTTGGGGGCCAAGACACGACTTGAAAGTCACTGGAATGTTCCTCGACGATTCGACACTTATGACATGGTGCATTATCCTGTTGGTAAACACCATCCCCCGCAGGAAAAACTGTTGTCATGAATGGGTGAACCTGGTCTGCAACTATGTTCAAGTAGCTTACAGACATCAGGGATTGTTCTATGAGAATTATGGGTCCTAATGTGCCCCATGAAAACATTGTTCGTGGGAGAGAAACCGTGAAAACCAGGGCGAGTTCATTGTTATGGATGGAGGGTGGTCATAATGTAATGGCTCTTCGGTGTATATATATATATATATACTATTATCAGGGTGTGTAAGTTTAATGACACCACTTTAAAATAATTTAAAATTTTCCCGTGCTCTACACTTTCTAATCACCATATAAAATAGATTTCAGAATTTTTATCATAAGGAAACATCTTAGAAAAAAATTAACCTGTCATCTTAGATCTTGTATATATTGTATCGAAAAATGTATTAATAATTTTTAGATTTCTTTTTGAAACAAATAACTAAGCATTCCTTTTTGATTTTTTAGATAACTTGCGCAGCGTCCATTGTTGGATCTTCTCAGAGTGGTTTACCTGATTTATGGATCTGCAGCAGTGATGGTTATGTTGGTCAAGTCTGTATCTTATCTTATCAAGCCGAGCCCGTCATAGCCACATGCGCAAATGTATGCAGTGCAAGGATTCTGTGCATAGCTGCTGTTCCGGGTGTCAATGCTGGGTAAATATTTATTCTCCTGCAGCTATTAATTATTGGACTGGAAGTACATATATCAATATATTAATACGGCTGAAAATGAAAAACAAAAATAAACAAACTATTATATGTATATACATTACATACATATATATTACATATATATATACACATATACACGCCATTCCTATCATAGATTTAGTCCCATAGAGCCCAATACTGTTTAGTAGCAGGGTCGTAGAAAGAAATATCTTGCCAACTAGGTCTTCCTTAATTTCAAGGATAGGTCTTCGAATTGGGCTTCTTATTTTCCTTCCTCACTCCATGAATCTGGCATGGATGTCGTTAAAATCATAACATGGTGCATCACGTGATTTGTTGGCTTAGATTTTTTCTGTTTTCTGGAGCAATATCGACAGCTACCATTGCAGGTCTTCTTCGATAATGTGCCGGCATTTCCATGCATCCCTTGTTTTCTTTACATTTTTCTTATTTTAAGGGTTTTATGTGCTTGTAGCAGTTAAAAAAAAACTTAATAAATCATGAATTATTAATTTTCCTTTTAAATTTTCTCTCTTTTTTTGTTGTCAGGTACCTAAGAATGAGGCGCAGGAGCACACTTCTTCCATACCTGCCAGGTTTCAATTACGAAAAAATGAGAAGGGATAGTATACAGGAATGCAAAGGACCACTCGACAGGTGAGATTTATAAGTTCAGTTACGTTTTCACATTAAAATCAAAATTATCGGTTTACGAAATCTTTTCATTACTGTAAGTAAAATTTTTACTCTAAGCATCTGAAATATACCTTACATTTGAATGAGTACAATGAAGTCCTTTGAATACATCTTACATCTGAATGAGTACAATGAAGTCCTTTGAATACATCTTACATTTGAATGAGTACAATGAAGTCCTTTGAATATATGTTGCATTTGAATGAGTACAATGAAGTCCTTTGAATACATCTTACATTTGAATGAGTACAGTTTATACATTATGCTACGTATGAATAAACCAAAATAACAAAAATAAAGTAAAAATAAAAGTACATGTATGGATATACCATAGTTTTGGTTCTATAAACAGAAACCTTCCTCACTCTCTATACACCAAGTGGCAGAAAAAAGTAACAAAGCAAACAAGTTCTCAAAATGGTTTAACTAAGAGGAATAAGCTTGAACAAATTATTTTTCCTTCTTTTATTACCTTGTTCCGGCTTGTTTCTCTTGGTTAAACCACTTTATCTCGTTACTTTTATACTGTCATTTGGTGTTTAGACGAAAGGGAAGATTCTTGTTTACAGAAACAAAATGATGGTATTTCCATTCACGTACTTTTATTTTTGCTTTATTCCCGTTGTTTCGATTTTTTTCATATCTAATATTTACTGTTTTCTGTCCAATTTTTAATTAATATATATGAGTATTCAAAGTAATACTAATTTATAAATTTATTACGTTTCAGCGACTCAGACGATGAGTTCATTGATGCTCTAGGTATGTTTTAATAATTTATTTATTTATTTACTAACTGAGTAAATAAATGAGTGCTAAAAAAGCAAAATGATGCACAAAACGGTTCAATCAATAAAGCTAAAGAAAATTCCACTATTTAATATGTTTGTACTTTTTGACCTTCCATTTAGCTTTACTTAATAATATTAAGCAAAAATGTTCAGTTCCAGTTTTAAATTCATTCCATCATGAAAAAGATTAACTGTACTAAGTATCATTTGGCATTTTTGAGACTATGAAAAGCCTCTTACCAAGTATTTTTATTAAAATTGCATAGTTTTGGCTCTATTTTTATACGTGACAAATATACTAATTGTACCTACGTTATAAGTATATTTGGTGCCTATTTAAACTACACCAATTGCTATAATACTAGCGCCTTTTACCAAAACTAATTAAACATCATTGGCGTCAATAATAGCATGACAGTTTGTTACGCTTCTTCTAAATAATTTGGTACCATTTTACCATTATTTCATTAGTACTTATTATCAAAATTAAATAAACATCAATGGCATTAATAGTATTATGGTGATTTTTTACATTTCTCTTAAGAAATAAGTAACATTTCTCCACTAATTTTGCTTTTTAGTGCATAGCTTAATTTTTTTTTACTCCAATTAGTAACGATCCTGGTAGCGTAATTTACAAAGTAAATCTGCAGCACCGTCTTCATAATTCTAAATTCGCCTTTCACCTCAATGGTTATTATTGTACAATGTAGAAACATGCATGTAGCAAACTTTTTAAAATAAGGTACTTTAAAACTATACATAAAAATGTTATTTTGTTTAAATTTAAGTTGAATTTTTACTATGATACTAAAAACATTTGGAATAAAACTCTGTGCTAAGTCTATGACCAAGTAGCAAAAAAAAAAATTCCTTAATTATTTATTCTTTGCGGTGTTCATCCAATTTAGAGAAGTTTTAAGAAGCATTCTGGGCAATTCCTTTTTTGTAACAAAAGGAAAACACTGTCGAAATATCAGGACGCTAGCACAAATGGTTATGGAGTTATAAACGCACAGACAAACTTTTAATTCTATTATTATAGATTACTGCAAGTCTATTTAATGTTCTTAATGCACATATCCTTCAATAAACATAGTATTAAACACATTGCAAATCATTGCTCTATAACATCTTTATATTTTTAATTAAATTTAAATTTGATTATTTTTGACTAAAGAGTTTTTAAGAAATAATTTGCTACAGTTTCTATGTTTACTTCCAGAAGAAGAACTTTCAAGTGATGATACTAACACTTTACAGCCTACGATATGGCTTGGAACTGAGGATGGATGGTAAGTGATTGAATACTTAAATTAATGAGGAATTTCATAAACGGTAAAAAAGAATTTATAAATTCTAATAAATAAACCTTAAAATTAATATTGGTCAAAATTAAATTTAATTACCTTTTTAAGACCAATTAACTTTTATTAACGGGAGATTAACTTTTCCTTAAAGAATTATCATATATAATAAGGAATAAATCCCAAAAGACTGCATGTTAATTATCAATATATGTATTTTCGTGCTTAAGTTCTTTGGGATAAATATTAAGCGATTGATGAATGTAACAAAATTCAACACGACTACGTCACCATTTACTTAGATATTGATTTCGCTATAAGAAAAAAAATATCACTGTACTCAAAAATCAGTTTTGTAAGTATTGTAAAAATATACTGTTAAAAATCTAGAAAGGAATTGAAAAATGGTAATTAGTTAATAATAATGGTAATTGTTTAATTTTTTTGTCGTATGCCTGTTTAGGCAGTGAGGGTGCGATTGTTCCTGTTTTCAATGGCGCCATCTATGGCCAGAAATTTGACTTCTGCCACGCCATTCACACAACCACAACCGTCATATAGGTCCGTCACATTCGCACACATTCACACACAAAGGAGAAAGAGACATCCATGCCGTGCCCGGGATTCGAATCCAGGACTTTTCTGATGCAAGGACAGTTCCCTGCCCCCTACACAGGCCGGTCGGCAATTGTTTAGTAGAATACATAATAAAACCCAAAAATCTTGGGATTTTGACCTTGACTGACCTTGCAACTTTCATTAGACAAATAAATTTTCCTTGAATTTGATTGGTTCACGTTTAATGGATTCTCAGTTTAATATGCAATCGGACCCGCTATCGTGGGCCACACTGTTAAAAATTTTCTAAAAATTACGGTAAAATAACCGTCAGCAGTTTGTCCATTCAATTGACCTTAAAGTTTACGGTATAGATTTTTTACCTTCACGTTTTTAGAACCGTTTACAACTAATGTGGTTTAAAAAAATTAATGAATTTAAAAAAAACATGAATATAAAATTCTACGGTTTTTAACTATTTACAACTAGCATGGTTTTAAAACCATGAAAAGAAATTTAACTATACATTGGAGCTAAACTATTCGCTTAAGTAATGAGCATTGGAATTAAGTTGTAGTTGAGTTGCGTGTATCACATGAGCCTTGGAATATTGTTTAATTAGCATACTTGTTTGCTTCACCTATCGTAAGAGATGGAAAATACTAGACTTTTTTTTTGTTAAGTAGCTTTATGGTGCTGCCTTCTATGCGTGAATGAGAACAAATTGGGGTGTGCAGGGCACTAAAACTCCTCATGTGTTAAAAGGAAATTGTGTGGTGCCAACGCTAGGATTCGAACCCCTGTTCTGTCGGTCCTGATATCGACAGATTAGCCCTATAATCTATAACATGTACCAAACTGCAAGGAACTTAGTGTCTTCACTAAGTGGGTCTAGTTGGTGCGATAAAATTCTGGTTGTTTAACCGTATTAAGCAAAGGCATTTAAAGTGCTTTTTTTCACAGTTAACAGTTTGAATACCAACTCATTATGGTTATTTGACTGTTATGGTTATGGTAAAATAACATTTGAATAAATTGTTAATTAACCCTTTCTTTAAAGAAATTTCTTACAGTGCTTCTGAAGACGCAGCTCCACTAATCAACGAATCACTATATCGAAATTCTTGGAGAAAAAAATATTTTTTAGAATATTCTGGGCAGTAATGATTACGCTAGTAATTAATTTACTTATAAATTATTTATAAATTATTTATGAATTATTATATATATTATTATTTATATTACAAACAATTTACTTATAAATTATTAATTAAAGAACTAAATACAGTTGTATATCTATACAAGGCTCTGTATATATGGCAAGTATCACACTATGTAACAAAACTTTTTTTGAAACATTAAGTAGAATTCAAAATATCAGCCATATATCACCCTATAAGGAAATTTCTTTTTATGCTTATCTTTGCGATTTTCCTCATTTTTGGAATACATCATTTTGACCTTCTTCATTCTCGAGGAAAGTGGCGAGTGAAAGTTTTGTATAACCAATTCACTCTCCTTTTTGCCTGCCTTTTTAACTATTCGCATTATTGATTAAAACAATAACATTTCGGAATATAATTCTAGACATAAAGGAAAGTGACCAATTTTAAACACTCCTTTATGTATTAATTTATATATAGTGAAATAATATTTGTATTATAAATTATAACCAGCTACTTTTGAACTTTTGAAGTTTTATAACATTTACTTAACCAAGTGAAAAAGGAAAATTTAAGTGAACTCTAAACAAACTACCCATTTCTCAGTTGCCCACTATAAGCATGTGAAATAATATTAGTCATATAGCAATTTGGACGGGATAACTAAGGAATGTCCACTACATCCGAGTGTCCACTATATCCCGGATTCATTATAGTGGGGTTAGACAACAGCACCTTATTAGGATTGCCACAAATTTGAGCGGCATTATGTTTTAAGGCACTGACGTTATGGTTGAGCTTTGAATATTTTTTTTAAATGTTGTTAAATTGAACAGTTTTAACTTTTTAAATTAACCATAAACCTATACACCGAAAAGCCATTACATTATGACCACCCTCCATCTATAACAATGGGCTCGCCCAGGTTTTCATGGTTTCTCGTCCAGGAACAATGCTTTCATGGGGCACATTAGGACCCATAATCCTCATAGAACAATCCCTGACGTATGTAAGCTACATGAACATAGTTGCAGACCACGTTCACCCATTCATGACAACAGTTTTTTCTGCCGAGGATGGTGTTTACCAACAGGATAATGCACCATGTCATAAGGGTCGAATCGTCGAGGAACATTCCAGTGACCTTCAAGTCATGTCTTGGTCCCCAAATTCACCTTACCTTAATCCAATAGAGCATTTGTGATCCTACTTGGAAAATAAAATTCGCGCTGCCACGCTACCCCCTCGCAATGTGAGGGAATTGCAGGACCAGTTGGTGAGCGCTTGGTACCATATACCTCAGACTACCTATCAACACCTTGTGGAATCAATGCAATGCCACGGCGGGTGCTAGCAGTTTTGAGGGCTAAAGGTGGTCCTACATGTTATTAGCAGGGTGGTCATAGTGTAATGACTCTTCGGTGTATATAGCTCATGAAACTGTACAGATTAGATATTCATTTTGTTTAGTATTGCTTTCAAACGTAATAAATTGTTTTATATTTTGCAGCATCTACATTTATAACTGTAAAGATGTAAACCTTCGAAAAACAAGATTAAAAATGCACCACACCACCTGCATATATGACATTATGTAAGAATTTAAAAATATTTTAGTATTATTATGTCATTCAGTGTCTCTTAATTCCAAAATATTATGAAATGTACACTTTTTTAACGTTTTCAATGTTTTCATTTTAAACAAGTTTAAAGTATCCTTCTCACTTTTACTCATTTTTTTCAGCCATTTCAATGAAAAGGTATATGTTTCTTTAGCGAATGGGGAAATTCTGATTTACAGACGTGATATAAGTAAGCAAATTATAAATGAATAATTTGTATTCCAGAATCTTTTATGTAACTATCATCACGTTAAAATGTTTTGAAATTATAAATGTAAATAATACAATACTTTTATATAGTTATGAACTGTTAAGTTTTAAATTAAAAGATTACAATCTATACCCTATAAACCACATGACAGGTTTCAGTTTTTCCGCAGTATTTTCCATATTTTTTTGGTTGTCATTTGCATAAAATTATTTATATCTCTCTCTTGTAAAAGAATTTTGCTTGCCAAATTTAAAGGTATTTAACTGTAATATTTATTTTTCTTATTTTACTCAGCTGTTATTAAATTTTTAATTTTGATTGTTTTCTAAACTAAAAGAGTGGTCTCTTCATTACAACGTTTGTCACGATGGTTAAGATTCGCGACAAGTAAATAATAAGAAAAGAGAATAAATGAAAACTATATACATTTTATTCAAATATATA